TCTTAACTAAATATTGCTTATGTGATTTTAAATTTAAATTTTTAAATTTATAATTAAATACCTAATCATAATATTATTTCTAAATAACCTCAAATAATATAAATTCCTATTATTATTATTTTATTTTCAAAACTTAAATTCCACAATTTCTTTAATCAGGATGTTACATTGAGTCCCATCAGTGCCTTTTCTGTTAGATTGCTTACTTTTTTGAGTCTAGAAAGCAGCTAGAAGGTCGTGGAGTAAATTTGGATTCTTTGCTTATGAGATTTTTATTAAGTAAGAAGAGAAAGGGACTAACTCTTTTAAATCTTTCTTTCTTCTTGGAACTAGAAAAGAATCTACAGGCTACCTAGCCTTTAGAGTCTATTCAGGATCACTTTTTTGAATGAGACCAGAATCTCAAGCTTAATTCGAAAGGAAATCAAAGAGCATAAGCAACGCAGCAGCTACTCTTTGGTTTGTATTAGGAGTTATGTTCTTGTCATTTAGTTTAGCTTTCATTAGTTTTTGGTAGTAGTCGCTGCTTGCACCTTTCAATTTAAGGTCACATAAAACTGCAAGGTGCTCTTAAAGTGTTTCATCTTCAAATTGGGCCTGAGGCGTAGAGGGAGGATTCGAACCTGCAATCTTCAGGTCATGAGCCTGACGAGTTAACCAACAACTCTACCCTGCTTCGCTTCCTTACTTTCACCTCTCTTTTTCATTCCATTCCCCTCTAACGGAACGGCTAGAATAAAAGGTCAAGTCCAGCTCTTTTGCTAATAAATGCAACGAGATGCCTTTTCTTTTGCTTTCCACTTCAAAAGGCCTTCCAAGGCTAGTCATTCATCTGATGACAATAAGACTAATCGCTGACCTTCTTTCTTGATCAGGGGAAACTTCCTTATTCTGTCACTGATCGAGCACGTTACTGAGCTTCAAGAGTCATCTTTTCATTGAGGCCCAATTTCACTTTGTAGCGTGCTCTTTCCTAAGATGTATAAACTCCTTTTGGTTGGCTTCTGTACAATAGTAAAAGTTTGAGCAAGTATGGTTCTTTCTTTCCCTATTTATGGCCATATCGCCAAATCTACCTACATCTTCATAAGCATACTTTGGATCTCCTTCGAATTTCAAAGAGGGGTTGGGGATCCACCAAACACTCTATTTACGCTATTTAGAGTGATCACCTGCTTTAGTTCTCCCTTAAACTCGAGAAAAAGACAATGAACTAAAAATGAAAACTATCTCTGATACGAGGCATTGTAGGGAATTTGAATAGAAGGAAATGAAGCCTCAAGCCATTAAACCCATCTATATTGATAAATTATCATATGCAAGACATCAAAATTTTAAAATAGGGAAACTTATTTTTGGTATTTTGTTTTATTTTTTATTAATATTAGTTTTTGCATTTCAAGTTTTTTTGAAACCAGATCTTATAAATTTTATGAACTGAATTTTTCATAATATATACTTAACTCGCTCAACTAAAAAAAATGACGAGTTTAACAAGTTTAATCAAGCTTGTATCTCGTCCAAGTTTATGAATTAGTTGATATGATTTTATAAGTTAGAAATATAAAAATGATAAACTCAAAAGTAAACTCACGAGTTTAACTGAATTTATATCTTGTTCGAATTTATAAGTGAATTGACACAATTTTGTAAGCTAAAAATATAAAAATGTTAAATTCGTAAAGTTAACTCAAAAGTTTGACAACTACGCTCCTAACTTTGCAGAGTATAATTTTAAATTCTCTTGAGCCCTTTCTTTGTGACTAAGCGCCACCCCTTTTTTTGTGGGACATTAATAATTTTTTGAAAATAACCCCTCAAACAATTAACATTAAAAAACTGAAAAAAAAATAAACACACATGCATGCCCGGAAACGTTTTTGGTGCTCGTGATGAGAACTTGATCAGCATAAAAAATTTGGACGGTCTGAATTTTATAAAATTTATTTTTCATTTTAGTTTTATTTTTATTATAAAAATTATAAAATTTTAATAAGTTTATTTTATTATCAATTTGTATAATATAGATTTAATTTAAATGGTCTAACTTAATATTATTTTTATAAATTGACTATCCAAATATATTATATACAAATTAAATTCAAAATACATCTGGATAGTCAATTTATAAATTTTTTTAAAAAATAATATTAAATTGAACAATTTAAATTAAATTAAATTTATATTATCTAAATTGATAATAAAATATAAAATAAAATGAATAAATCTGGATCATCCAAATTGCTCATTAGGTGACTGATGAGCTATGAAAACCGAACTCTGCTTGCATGACTTCATCAGCGAGGCTCGGTGTGGTGAGCAAGATATCGAGACTTTTGGTGGACTGTGGACACTCTTAGTCCGTATAATTTTCTTGACCGAAAGAAGATATATATACTACCACGATTTTTATAAATTACTGGAGAATATATATATATATATATATATAATTAGTTGGGAAATTACAAGCCACGATAGATATTGAAAAGCACGACATATAATAGTATGAAAGAGACTAGACATTAGAGAATGGCATGCAAGAATGAGAAGAATCGCGGCGCGCGGGAGATGAAAAAAGATTATCGCAGGCAAGAAGAGATCCCAATTCTCGTACTCTGTTCCACAATGATATGGAGCTAATTAAGCAATTTTGACCACAGATTTTCGTTTTTTGAAATAGAAATTACATAGTTTTAACTTCTAAGGTTAATGAAGGAGTGGTTTTAGCAGTGTGAGACATTTGCATCGGAGGGCTCCTGATGAAAAAGGCATCATGAAAATCAATAATGTTGGTGGTGCTTTCTCTAGGGAGAAAAGATGTGCAGGTGTGATAATTATATGCAGAGATAGAATGGGGACGTACGGTTTAGGGGAATTAGTAGAATTGTTGCTGCTTCGTCTGCCTTTGAGGCTGGATGTTTGGCTCTGCAAGAAGCATTACTGGCATAAAATATGCAAAAGAAGTTGATTGCGAGGTTCTATACAAACGTTTAATGGCTGGCTCTGTTGGTGATGCGAATTGGCAGAGTAAGCATCTTTTAACATGCATAAGCCACCAGGTACTGCATTCTCCTTGGTAGCATGCCAAGGCAATGGTGCTACTGATGCTTTAGCAATTGTTGGGGTGGAGCCTAATGGGTGGCTGGTGACAGGACCTCCCTTCTTAACTGAGTTGTTGGCTGATTTATCTGACACAAGGAAGAATTGTTTGGATGTTGTAGTCTGCTAATTTTGCTACATTTGATATTGGCTCCTTCTTTGTGTATTTTGAGACAAGTTTTTGTTGTTTTCTTTTTTGGTTAGTTTTGTATGTTCGGTTATATCTAGGTTTTTCTAAAGTGTTTTTCTTGACTTCAACTATTAGTGTGTGTAAATTGTTTTTTTGGTGATTAACAAAACAGGCTCCTTTTTTTTGTTGGAAGGGGGTTTTTACATTTAAATCTAAATTTCTAGTCCTTTGAAATAATTACAATTCTTGAGATCATTAAATAAACAATTAATATTTCCACTATATTTAGCACTCCTTTGTTATAGTATTTATACGAATATATTTTCTAATTTTAACATTCAACACTTTTTTTTTAGAGAATCACAATGAAGGACCATTAAATAACATTTATTACTCTACAGGATCAAGTAATTCTGATTTGCTGTGCAGGATCAAGGAACTTAAATGTAATTAAAATTTATTATGAAAATACAAAACTACCTCTCATATAATATGTGTGTGTTGTGATAGCAGAATTAGTTGTTGTTAAAATGGACATGACACTTATTATTATTATTATTTTTTGAATGAGCACTTGTTCACGACATTATGGCTCTTTCTCTCTAATACCAAGTTAATATTTTAGAATTATTGATAAAAAAATTGGTTATTGCTAGAATAAAAATAGGACTTGCTTTTCATGACTAGGGATTTGTTCACGAAATTACAACACTTCTTTCTCTCACTACTATGTTAATTTTTCAGAGTTATTAATAAAAAAAATTAATTGTTAAAAAAAATGAGACCTATTTTCTTCACATGAAAACTTGTTGAAAGAGCGTATATATATGAGAGACAGTTTTGTTTTTTCATAATAAATTTTAATTATATTTAAAACTCTTGATTTTGCAGAGTAATTTTAGAATAGTTTGGCCCTTGTTCGTAATAAATGATCTTCCCAAGTACTCTATTGTAGGGGTGTGCAAGAAAACCAAAAACCTGATCAACCCGGTCCGATCCGATCCAACCCAATCCAGTTTGAATAAAGAATAAGCAACCCGAACACTAAACTAGTTTGTCTAGACTGGGTTGGTCGATTGGGTCAAACTATGTCTTGGACTAATGTTTAGTACTACATAGTCCAGCCCAACCTGGTGGTCATATATTTTTATATATATATAATTTTTTTAAAGTAATATATATATACACATACTCCATTTATTTTCTCAAATTTTCTTTAAAATTTTTTCGTTCCAGATTCTATTTCTCCTCTCCCTTTTTCACAGAGCATGATATAATCCTTTGCTTTGTTGGTGGAGCCGTCCTTGCCATATGTGGTAACCATCAGTGTTCTTCCTTTTCTTCCCCTATCTTGGCTTTCTCCTTTCTCCTTTCGTTGCTCTGTTCGTGAAGTTCTTTGCTTTGTCTGGAGATTTCTTCATGGTGTTCTGGAAATTCCTCATCCAATCCTCCTCCAAGTTTGTGGTTTGATTCATCGATTTTGTTGCTTAGATCATTTTCTTAGGTTTTTAACCACGTTCTTGTGTTCCTAAATGGGTGTTCTTTGATTTTTTTTAAAGTTTTTTATTCAAGTTAAAAAAAATGTTGGTCTCCTAGACTAGTCCACGAGTCTGGTAGACAATACCCGATCTGATTAGTCATCGGGTTTGCTTCGGGCCAGACCAATCAGTCTATTGTGCTTTTCCCTATTTCCTTTAATAATTAAACAACCATTTCTTAACATATATATGCATTATATATATAAATATCATATTGTATTATACTTCATACTCGAATTTGGCTCTGCAATCTGGATCTGCATCAGTAACGACAAGCGGGGTTTAAGATAGTTTGAGTTCACATCAAAATACAAAGTTTCTTAAAATAAGCAAATAGCCCGACTCCGAACCTTGCCCACGTAGTATGTACACAACGACGACGCACAGCAACTAATTTTTGGTTCCAATTAAACACTCTGTGATTCAATTCAACTCAAAGACGAGAAAGAGCCAAAACCTGTTCGCTGTAATGACCACCCCTATTACTATTATCGTTCTTATTACGATCAACTCGAGCCGAGCTAGACGACGTTGTACTCTGCACATCTTCGGATACCACGAACGCCTTCGCCTTCTCCCTCAATTCAAACTTGAGAATCTTCCCAGTTGAAGTCTTGGGCAGCTCGTCCATGAACTTGACGACTTTCGGAACCATGAAGTGTGGCATCCTCTTCCTGCAATACCCGATTATGTCATTCTCCGTGACGTGATCATCACCAGTCGTAGTCGTCCTCCCTGATTCGTTCTTCTTCAGAGCTATGAAGGCGCAGGGGCTTTCTCCCCACCTAGGATGAGGCATGGCCACCACCGCGGCTTCCGACACCCTCGGATGCTTGTAAAGAACATTCTCGACCTCGACGCTGCTAATGTTTTCTCCGCCGGAGATAATCACATCCTTGGACCGGTCTTTGATCTCCAAATAACCATCTGGGTGTACAACTCCAACATCCCCGGTTCTGAACCACCCGTTCTGGAACACTTTGGATGTTTCGTTTGGATCCTTATAATACCCTTTCATGATCCCACTCCCTCTCAGCACTATCTCTCCCATCGTCTTCCCATCTCTAGGCACGCTCTCCATCGTCTCTAGATTCTTCACGTCCACACTCGCGAGTGTTAATATGCTAACCCCTTGACGTGCTTTCAGCTTCGATTGTTCCTCTTTCGGTAAATCATTCCACTTCTTATCCCACTCGCAAACAAGCGCTGGTCCAGTGGCTTCCGTAAGGCCGTACGCATGCGTGACGTGGAACCCGAGCGACTCGATCTGTTGGAGGAGCGCCGCCGGGGGGGGAGCGCCTCCGGTGAGGATCTCGACAGTTGAGGTAAGGCGGTGGCGGTCAGTTTGTTTGGCCTGGAGGATGATGTTGAAGATAATGGGGGCACAGCACATGTGAGTGACGTTGTGAAGGGCAATGTTCTTAAAGATTTGCGGGGCCGTGATGTTGCGGAGGCAGACGTTGGTGCCGCCACGTGCCGCCACCCCCCAGGTGAAGGTCCACCCGTTGCAGTGGAACATGGGGAGGGTCCAGAGGTAGACCGGTGCGGTCGGAACTTCCCAGCATAAAATCAAGCTGAGAGTACTGAGGTAGGCTCCTCTGTGACTGTAAACGACGCCTTTGGGTGCGGAGGTGGTGCCTGAGGTGTAGTTGAGAGCCACTGGGTCCCACTCATCGTGGGGCTCGATGGGGACGAAGGCTGGGTCGCCTCGGAGGATGAGGAGCTCGTAGTCGAGCTCGTTCATGCGGATGCCGGTGGGAGAGTTGATGTCGTCAATAACGACGACTAACGGCAGAGAGGAATAACCGTTAGATTCCATGAGGATTCGAAGCGCTTCGCCAGCCTTAGGAACATACTCGTAGTCCACGAAGAAGACCTTGGCTTCCGAGTGCTTCAGAATGGTGGCTATGTTGCTGGCATCAAGTCGAGTGTTTATGGTGTTCAACACAGCTCCCGCCATGGGCACAGCGAAATGCATCTCGTACATGGCCGGAACGTTGGGCGCCAACACTGATACCTGTCACAAATTGCACGGAGCCACGTGATCATCTGTCAGAGAGAATCTCGGGTACGTATCGTAGGGACATTATAAAGTAAAGATTCCATAATGATTGTGAAATTGTAAAGTATGTGTACGGAGACATACGACGTCGTGGGTGTTGATGTGGAGGGAGCGGAGAGCGGAGGCAAGGCGGCGGCAACGGTCATAAGTCCGAGACCAAGTGAAAGAGGTTGCTTCGTAGATGATGGAGGTTCTGTTAGCGTAGGAGGAAGCAGCTCTGGTGAGAAAAGTGAGAGGGGTGAGCGGGGTATAGTTTGCTCGGTTCTTGGGAAGATTCTCCATTGAATCAGCTTCTTCTTCTTTTAGAACCAGCAGCTCTAATTCTTCACTGAAGACAGAGGCAGGGAAGGAAGGAGAACTATGAAATGGTCCTTTTGGGCAATGGAATGGGTTTGGAGTGTGTGTGGGAGGGGTTTGTTTATATAGGACTGGTGAATACTGAATATATTGGGTTGCATGATTCATATGAGCACCACGTTATGTGGGGGCCATGTGTTCAGGAAATAGCAGGGATAGAAGATGCTGTGAAACTTGTGTGTGGAAGAAGTTGTTAATCTGGAAATTGCGTTGATACTGCAATTGAGGGAAGAGTTGTTTACAAGAGTTTGACTTCTTTTAAATGTTTATTTATTTATTTTTAATGTATTGGCCTGAAAAATAATTTAATATCATATCATAATTTTTAATAAGTAAACTTTAATAATTAGCAAATGAAGTTTAAGTTCTAACAAGTATCAAATTTGTCTGTCTGATATTAAATAATTTCTAATTTTCTTCATTGATATTCTCCCTTATATATATATATAAGGCCCAGCCTCTCTTATAACTGAAGCCATATTTTCTATAAAAAATATATTAGTCGAAAAATTAAACTATTCATATTATAATCGTATTAGTGGTTTATAAGGATGTTCAAGTTGCACTTAATATATTGTTGGTTCATTTCTCCGCTATTTCACACGAGTGTGCCTTTTCACATTGGTCCTAGTTTGAACTTTGAACAAAGTCAGTACTCTGGCAGTGCCTTTCGTCACAAAATACCTTTTTACATTAAACAACCATCGATAAAGAAAGCTTACCTTTTATTTGGAGAGAGAACCCAAACACTTGTAGTGCCATTCATATATATCCCCTTCTCTCTCCCGGTGTGCATATTGTGCACCACAAATTAATTTTTTATTTGTTTTTGTCCCTTTTTTGTAAGGCTTGACATAGCTTGAGTTTTTAAAGGTTTAATTATATCTCTACTTGACAATTATAACTTTTCAGAGATTTTAATTTAATCACTATAATTAATTTAATTATTTGAGCAAATTCATTGTGCGTATGAAATTTTTTTTACGGGTTATCCGTTATGCCTTCTTTCATGTGATATCGCAAACGTAAAAAGTGACTTGGCAAATTCTTTTTTCCCCCCACTTCAGGAGATTTGACTGGTACTTAATAATATCATAAGGACTAATTAGCATGGTTATTAAATTTTAGAGACTTAATTAATAAAAACAAAATTTCAAAAATTAAGTTGATAATTAAAGCAAATTTGATATATCAAAAATTGCATCTCATTATCACATCCAAAAACTCAAATATTTCTTTAACCCTTGACATTTACTATCATGGAAGATATCATTATTTGACGTTATTTTTGTCAATATTTAATAATTTTAAACCTTCAAGTAAGGGGCACCATATATAAAGAGCTCCCTCACTTAATTGTTAAAAAAGGTTAATTATTGAGAGTTTTACTTGATGATTATTTAGTAACAACCGTTAAGTTTTTGCTTCCAAGTTTGGTTTTTTGGCTTGTTTTTGAAGCCTATACTTGAACCAAGTATAAATATTTTGCAGTTATTTTTATAAACTTAACAGTTATTTCTAAATAACCATCAAGTATTTATGATATTTTTTTAAATGAGGGATGCTTGAATTGCAAATTTACAAAAAAAATCAACTATCTACCAACTAGTCAATAACTGGAGAAAAAAATTAATCACTATTTAATTAAAACTACTATTTAAATGCATTAAAATTCCTATATCATTCCTGTACCTTAAACTTGAAACCATAAAAAAATCTATAATCTTATTAAGGTGATCTAAGTATCTATAGAAAGTTTTCTATTAGCTCTAGCTAATGGCACTGTTTTTATATTTAAATCATTTATCAATCAAAAGTTCAACATACATTTTCAAACTCACTCTTTTTACCACCAAAACACAACTTAGATGCTCAATTTTCAATCCAAGAAAAATGGAAGAGGAATGAAGATAAACTTTTAGAGAAATTACTAGTGAAGGTTGGAAGTTTCAAATTCCTCCTAAATGATAACCCAATTCATACCCTAGCAAAGCTCTTGAGTTACTCTTCATTTTCTCCTTCTCTTTCTTCTATTTTCAAATTGATTCTTGTACTTATCATTGTTAGAAATCGACCATATGCCACAGTTTCTTTTAGGAGAGGATATTTATGGATTGTGTCCTCAACAATGTTGAACACATGCCCCGTTGTAACTACTTTAAGTTTAAGATTATTTGCCAGACAATTGCAATCATTATCACCCTAAACAAACAATAATGGTCAGTTTTTAAAATAATAAATAAATAACTTTAAAAGATAATTAAAACATATTACCTTAGATAGTTTTTTTGTAACATCCCAATTTAAATTTTAATAGTTAATTTGGGTTAATAGAAATAAAAAAAATAATATTTAGAGGTAAGAAAATTAGTAAGAAATGATTATTAAATCTAACTTAGGATATAATTCTAAAAAAAATTTAAAAAAAATAATAAATAATTAAAATAATTAAAATAATAATAATAATAAAATAAAAAAATATTATTAAATTATTATTATAATAAAAAAAAGGGAAAACGTATTAAATAAAAAAGGAAAGAAGGAGTGAACTTTCGGTGGGCAATGATTATGTTTAATAATAAAAAAAAAGAAGAAGAAGAAGAGAGAGGAAAGAGTAAATAAAAAAAATATGTGGGACCCACTGAATTTTTATAAAACTCACCCGTTTTCTTTCATTTCTTCATTCCTTCTTTCGTGCGTGAGCTGAGGTAGAGAGAGAGCATCTGTGAGCCAAGTTCACCGGTGCTGGGTTTTAAGGTAAGAGTTTTTAATAGGATATTTAGGGTGTGATTTTAAGCTTTTCAAGACTAAGTAAGTGTTCTAAAATTTTTTCTTAGTCATCCTTTTTCTTTGGTTTCTGAGTTTGTAGTGGTAGAAAATTTAAGATCTGAAAGAGGAATGAATTTATGTTAAATAAATATGATTTTTGAGGTTGTCAGTAGTATAATAAATGTTCTAAAGTATAAATTTATTGATGATCTTTGAATCTGTGGCTTATGGATCAAATTCTAAACTAGATCTGAAAATATAAGTTGATTTATTGAGGTTTAGATGATTATTTGGGATGAGAAATGAATTATTATAGTTATAGGATTATGATTCTAAGCTAGAGACTTAATTTTTAATTTTTGGATATTTTAGGTACGAATTTATAAAATAAAAAGAAAATTTTGATAATAGAAATTAATTTAAAAGTTGATTTTTAGATTATTAATGTTTATTGATAATTAAAAGAGGAGTTAAAAATTTTACTTAATAGTATTAACTATAGATTTGTATTAAGATTGAAATTAGGAATTATATTATATTTTTAATTCTATTATTAGAATTATTTTATTAGTTTCAAAAATTGAAACTAATATTTATAAATAATATGTTATTTTGTAGATTGTATTACTGGTGAAGATTGTGGTGAGAGAGAAATTTTAAGGAATAATTTATTGAAAAAGCCACAAGGTAACCATGCTTTTAATTTGTGATTAGTGTTACTTCATGTTAATTGGGTGATTATTGAGAAAATTATGAATTTTGTAATATTGTATAATTGTGCAATATTATTATGAATTTGTTTAATTATTGTGGGAGGTGTTGGGAGACTTGCTATTATTGTTGTATTTATGTGCCACGTGGTACGCCCCTATTGGAGCTCAATAGGTGGCTTGCAAAGGCTCGGGCTAATCTACTTTTGGCCGGGTAATTTAGCACCGAGTGAGGGCTACGGCTCGAGATTAATGGAGGGATATAAGGATGGTTGTTTGTGTGTATTGTAATATTTCTTATATTTATTGGAATTATATTATTTTTAATTCTCACTTAGTAAGCACACACTTAACTGTTTGTATACACTATCATAAATTGACTTTGGTTACTGGGACTTTTGAGTCTCATTATGTGGTTAACAATTTTCAGGAGAAGAGCCACGAGTGACACGTGGAGGAGTCCCAGAGGCTTAGTGGTATAGATCCACTCTCTCTTTTGGGTATTTAATTTATGATTTATAATGTGTTATATTGCCAATATTAGGGCTTTTTATTTATTGTCAATTATATGAATATATAAATGTGATCATGCCTTTCAAACTATTTCTATTTTTGGTACAATTTGGATGACTGTAATTTTAATATTTGGTTTACTTTGGATTGGTTAAAATGGCATGATTATAAGGCCAAATAACTGGCTTGTGTTGAAAATTGACTAAATTGCTTATTTTACTTGTTGGGAGTATAAGGATGGACAAATGTGATTTAGTTTACTTGTTAGGAGTATAAGGATGGACAAATGTGATTTAGCCTAATGGCATGTGGGAGGTAAAAATTTATCTGAAATGTTATAGTGTGTGAGTTGAAGCAAATTATAAAATATTTTATATCAAAATTATTGATATAAAAAATGTGTTGAGTGGCTGTAACCCAACTATGGTTGAGTTAAATTATTTAAAAAAAAATTTTAGTGTGTTACATTTTTTAAAGGGACTATGTAGCTATCTTTTCAGCTAAGGCTAGTCTCACCCAAAATCCTTACAAGGATTTTCCCTTTCAGCAACACGTCAATTATAGCTACTTGGGCTTGTAGCTATTCCTTCAAAACTTTTTGCTCTTCTTTCAACTCTTAGACGAAGAAGCTGATGTTAACTTTTTTATCTTGTCAAAATATTACTTCTTTGTGAAGCCAACACCCTTGACACAACTAAGGTAGTCAGCATTCACTAATGCTTTGGCCAAGATATCCTCATACTCAATAAGCTTGCCCTGTGAGACTTCTTGAGAGATGAAATCCTACACAAAGTAAATATGGTTAGTTTGTATGTTCTTTCTTTTTTAACAAAGATTGGTTTGTATGTTCATAATCAATTATTAATTAATAGATAAGTATAATACTTAAAATTTTTTAATAACCTCCTTTACATAGGAGTTATTAGTAATTCATTCTTTGCTAGCTAGTGTTAATGCTAAGAGCTTATAAGGGGATATGATAATATTTGATACCTCATCCTCTACTTGTTTATACTCACTATTTACATACCCCAACCTCCCTGCTTTATGAAGATATTCATTCTCATATAATCCCTCTCTATTTTGAGTGCTCAATTCCTTGACAAATAACAAAAAATTTAGTTGGTACATATATATCCAATC